GTAGATCGCACTTGTTGCGTTTATTGGTTTTAGTAAATAATGAACGAGTTTATTTTTATGATTTTGTTTTCAATCTATACATCGTTTGTTATGAGCGTTTTACACTGATTGTGTTTTTATTGGATGGCATATTGCTATGATATATGGTCAAGGTTTTCTTTTCATTCTTGTGATGATAAAGAGATTGCCTGAAATACTGTGTGACGCATTTTTTGAGCATAAATTCAGCGTGTAGTTCTAATGATCTTTGAACACATCCGGAACGAAAATCACTTTGCTGGAGATTGATCATTGCGCAAATGTTATTCTTTCTCGATATTCTGCCAACTCACTGGGTAAAGAACTAGACAGCGTCGCAGCACTTGGGTCAATAAAAGGTGATGTTCTCAAAACAAACCTGCTTACGCTTTTGGGCCCTCACGGCACTCGCCTGTGAGAGAGCCTCATGTAAAAGAGTCGCTTTTTCAGTTTGCTCTTTGCCATTCCTTTCGATCACCGTCGTACGATTCTCGTCACCCGATGAGACCATCGAAGGGCTAGCCGACATCAACTCTGCTTTTCAATCTATCATTAAGACGTTAATTCCGATGCGTAAAACAGGCAGAAAACTGCAAACAAATTCTTTATTACCAATGCGTCAACAAGCTGAATTATTGAGCAACACCCTAATGTGAATAACATTATACTGATTAACGTTCTCCATCATTCCATCCCAGTTATGTTTACGCCAACAGAGAGAGCAAAGCATCTAAAACGAAGCATTCAACGAAGACACGTCCTATTCAGATCTCACTCTTTCGTTCATTGAAAATAATAATTTTTATCAATCATAAACGACCAATTTCCAGCGATGCTTTTTGTACGTATTATAGAATAGAATGATCATTTGATCAAAGTGTGCTACTGAAAACTCGAATAAAAGCGTTCAACTCATTCGAATCGGTCTCATAGTTAAGCACATTGTTGGAATGTTCGACCCAAACGATTTGGCTCAATATTCACATTTTTTTAAACGATTCAGTAGAGAAGTAATTTACATTTTCTATTTATCAAATGGAAACAAATACTTCCTATGGTCATATGTTCATAACGGAAGTACCGCCGAATTAGAAACTGATTTAGTAGTGAATGTGACAAAATAAATCAGAGTGAGTTGTTAGCTGATAAATAAAGAAGTTGATAAGACTGAAGTAATAAAATAACTAGACATAAATAATAATTTAATGTATCATCACACTACGATTGAGGAACGAAGACAAGACGATAGCGTTAAGGAGAAGAATATCGGCAACAGTAATAGCAACGGCAGCACTGTCGACGGATGATGATGGTAGATGCAGTATTCATTCTGTGCTACGCTTCTAACTAATAAAAATTTATCGTCACCCAATTGTGTCGTCCCACTCAGCATCGTTGTCAAACTGACTCACTCATTGCCATATGCGGTGAAGAAACCATTTTGATATCATTTCACACATACATACACACACATACATACGTCTGTCTATATCGTGCATTCAACACATCACACTTTGTTTGCTCACTTCATTACTTAACTCATTTTATTCAGTTTCAATTATCTGATCGTTTCGTTTCAAACTTAACCTTCTTAAGAATTGTGGACGTCTTCAGACACAGACTCTCTTCTGACGAAATTAAAAACAAATAGATGAATGCACGACGCAGTTTAAGCTGTTCCTGCGTTCCAATTATCTTTTGCGTATCGTATCATGTCTTTTTTCAACTAGAATCTTTTCACAAAAACTACACTTCGATAAGTGAATAAGCAACCCCATAGGAACATAACGATGAAAATTACCGAAATCAGCTCAAAATTTCTGCAGTATGATTAGCAATCAAACTAATGATGGGTACTGTAGCCTTTACTGGGTATATTATACTGTTAAATATCTTTATAAGAGTATGGCGACTATCAGAACTGCTTCGCTAACATAAATCACTGTGCGGAAAGGGCGCGTTAGCACAGAGATTTATGGAAGTATTTATCGAGAAAGAAGTGAAAACAAATACCGTTTTATGCATAGACAAAGAACAACACTTCAGCAAGGTAATGACGATAAGGAAATATGGTTCACAAATCCCATATTCTTTTCAAGTAAAATCCAAGGAACTCTGTTCGAAACGTTAAAAACAACTTGCTGAAAGAGTCATTCAAAGGAGGACGTTCAGACAAAACAATGCCTAGGAATGTTCGATGTTGAACCATTTTAGATCAACTTTTTCAGCCATTTCAGCAAGGCTGTGTCATGAAACTCTTTAAATAAATCTTTTTTGATCTCATTTTTGTGCGTTTTCGATTTTTACATGTGGAGACAATTCAATTGTAACGTTTGAAGATGGCATATAGAAGTGCTATCGTTGCGGACTTTCGTATAAAAGGCAATAACATGACGATGATGCATTTGTTGGACGATTTGATTATCAATAAGGAGAAGGTAATAAACACTATCAGTCGATCGTTTCATCAGGTCACGTTACGTTTGTTTGTTTCAAAAGGCGCATTGAATAAAACATCAACACATGTCTGTTATCTTCTACGCCTGATTTATCAATAAGAAGTAATCTCTTTGCATATGTTCCTGATGAATGTCATTTATACACTGCATTCAATACAATCACATAGCAACTTCAAAAAACGCATTTGTATCACACTCTCGGATATTGAAAGCACGATGAAATGTGATGAAAAAGTTAGCGATCGAACACAATTCGTAACAAGGCTAGGGAAGAGGTGCTCGATTACAAATTAGATGCAATATTCACGTCTTAAAATAACTTATAAAAAATAAATAGGTATAAATCATCAAATAACTGAATACGCACATATAGATACATACGCTCATATATATATATATA